GAGCCAAACCCCCCCCCCCCCCCCCCCCAAAAAAAAATTAAAAAATTAAAAAACAAAACAAAAAAAAAAAAAAAAAAAAAAAGATGAAGCTGGAGGAGCCCCCAAAACATGATGAGTCCCCTGCTCAAGACACATGCCAAGTTTTGAAGGTTGAGTGGGCCGGGGGCCAAAGAGCTATCCTGAAGACTTCTTAAGGGCAGAACTGAATCCAGTGCTGAGGAGACAGAGGTCTCATTGAACTCCATGGAGAGCCAGGCCTTAGAACAGGGACCAACCAGAGGCAGACTGAGTCCTACACAAATGGCAGAGCAGACCAGCCCAGCTCAACCCCCTGTTGGGTGATGAACTCCCTCCCTACCTGTGCAGCAGAGAATAAGGGGAGCCCTCTGTCTCTTTTGCAGGTAGAAAATAACAATATATAGAGGCTCTCCAATCTTCACCATACGGTAAAAAATGATTTTCCACCTAAGAAGCAAGATCACATGACTTATAAACAAGGCAATAGAAGCAGACCCGCAGATGAATCAGATATTGGAGTTAGTTGACAAGTACCTAAAAATAACTGTAAATAATATGTTCCAGACAATAGAGGAAAAGATGGACAAAATGATTAGATGGAGGAATAGAGAGTTTCAGCATAGTTTGAATGTATTGTGGAAAACCAAACGGATATTCTAGAACATAAAGTATTTGAAATTAGAACCTAGTGGTTAGAACCAATAGCAGATTGTCACAATGCGAGACAGGATTAATGAATAGGGAAGCAGGTCAGTAGGTCATCTCAAACTGAAATACAGAGAAAAAAGAATATAAAAAAGAAATAAGGGCATTAGAGACATGTGAGGCATACCTAAAAGGTCTAACACGTATAAAGTTGGACTCCCAGAAAGGAAGAGAGAGAATGGGACAGAAGCAGTATTTGAAGATATAATACTAAGAATATTACAAAATGATGAAAGTCAGCAGCTTACAGATTCAAAAAACTTAGAACACCTCAAGCAGGATGAGTACAGAGGAAACGTATCTTTGCACATCAGTATAAGACTGTGGAAACCTGTGACAGAAAATTTTAAAAGGAACCAGAGGTTAGAAAAAGACACCTCATTTTTAAAGGGGCAGTAATATGAACAAAACGACTGTGACATATTAAAATAAATGATTAAGAAAAAAGAAAGACAGACAATGAAGTGGCCATCTTTCAAGTAATGAGAGAAAAAAGCTGCCAACCTAGAATTCTTTCCTCAGCCAAAACTTCCTTCAAAAATGAAGGTGAAATAAAGATATTTTCAGACAAAAACCGAGAGAATTTGTCAGTAGTGAAACTGCATTACCATAAATACTAAAGGGAGCTACTGTAAGCAGAAGGGAAATTACCCCAGATGGAAATGCAGGAAGGAATGAAAGACATCATAAAGAGTAAATATGTATGTGAAATATACGAATGTTGACCATACAAAACTATAATATGTTTTTAGAGTTTAAAGTGTGTGTAAAACTAAAATGTATGAGAGTAGCACGAAAGGCAGGAGAGGGGTTAATAAAGTTAAAATATCTTAAGATTCTAAAGATTCTAGGATTATTGGGGATAGTAAAAATAATAATTTGCATTGACTTGTAAAGGATGCGTATTGTAATCTCTAAGGTAACTTTTAAAAGAATAAAATGTGTATGTTAAAAGAGAGGAGATGTGGAATAAAACAACATTGTATTAATCCAAAAAAAAAAAAAGATTAAAAGGTGGACATAAAGTAGGAGGTCAAATTGAAAATGAAGAGTAAGGTGGTAACTATAAATTCATCTATATAAATATTGATGATTACATTTAATATAAGTGGACTAAATACTCCCACTAAAAGACTAAGTTTGTCAGACTGGATAAATAACCAAAACCATGTTATATACTGCTTACAAGTGAGATGCTTTATTTATGTATTTTAAGATATTTTATTTTTTGATTAACCTATAGTTGCTGTACAATATTATATAAGTTACCGGTGTACAGTGTAATGATTCAATTTTTAAAGGAGTGGTATACTTTAAACAGAAGGATGGAAGAGGATATGTAATATACACACTAACTGAAGCAAAGCTGGTATAATATCAGATGAAGTACATGGCAATGCTACTTTGAGATAAAGAGAGATTATTTCATAATGATTGAGGAGTCAGCATCTGTATCTTACAAATAACAGAACTTTAAAATATTGGCAGGAAGATCCAAAACAAAATAATTCTACAACCCTAGTGGGACACCCACATACTTCAAGAACTTGTAGAACAAACAGGCAAAAAATTAGTAAGGATATAGAAGGTCTTAATAAAGTGATGAATAAACTTGACCTAATTGACCCAGCAAAAACAGAGTTTTGCATTCTTTAAGTACATATGAAACATTTACCAAAATAGATCATATGCTGGACCCTAACGAAAACTTTCTACAAATTTCAAGATGGAAAATTTTCAGGGTATGTTCTCTGACCACAGTGGACTTAAGCTCAAATTTAATAACAGTGTTATGTAAGAAATCCTTAGCTGCCTGGAAACAAATAGCTTCTAAATAATTTACGGGTCAAAGAGGAAATTAAAATTGAAATTAGAGAATATATTAATAAGAAATGACATATGCTAATATTATTAGCATGATCTGTCTTTACCCTAAAACATTTGGAATGGTCCAAAGTAAGCATGGCATAATTAGGGCTGATATTAGTAATCTTTGTATCTTTGAAAATTGGAAGAATATTCCCTTTTTTCCTGGTTTATTGATATACGTGAAAATGACATTTTTCTACATTTAAAAAATTAAATTAATGTATTTCCAGGAAGAATGATCAAATGATGATGCACATTTAGCATCATGTGAAAAAAAAGTAAGCTAAATCCAAAAGTCTTCCACTGAGTATGAAGTGACTTTATTATTTCATTCTGAATCAGGCATTTTATCTGGACGAGACTCACAGCTTGATGTGTCAAAAATTTTTTTCTTTCCTGTGTTCTTAAAAGCTTCTCCTCTCCAATTTCAGCATGTACTCAGCTGCTTTGTCAAAGAGAAAGCAATCTCCTTTAGTAGATGAAACAGATGGGCAACCTGCGTAGTTATTTCTTAAGCACTTCTGGCCACTATGGTGGTGACTACTGCTGATGTGTTTCCATTTGAACTTTAGACATCGGAGTTTCTCTTCGTTGGCTTGTTCCGCAGCGCTTCTCTCCTCTCTCCTGGCCTGGTGTGATGGATCTGGCCTGTCAGGTTATATCCCCTTGGAGGAAAATGCTTCAGGGCTCCCCAGCAACTTGCTTTGTGTTCTTTAATTGACAATACCATCCACCTTGCAGTTTCAGATACAGTTGTGTAAGTCAGTACAGCCTCCGAGATTGAAGTTATCAGTAATTCTGGGTCCTTGGTTTCACCAGCCTAGTGGATTCTTTAATTTCTAGTTTTATAATCCTGATCCCTAGAAAACTCTGTTGTCAGGTATCTTGCAATGTGTATGTTGTCCATTGTATTTCCGTTTTCCTGTGTCCCCAGACTCTTAGTGGTTACCCATTTTCCTGTGGTCTGAAGTCCTAATTGCTTCTTCCATCACTCACATATCTCTGCGTTAGTTATCGCTTACCTTTCCGTCTTTATCTTTCACTACCTTCTCACGTAGACCTTCCAGTAACCAATATTACCTGAACCCACCGAGCCCAGTTCTTCTTTTTATTACTTTCCTTACGTCCTTCCCCCAGCCTAGGATGCCGTTTCCGTTTCTCGGCTTGTGGAAAGCCTTGCTTCGTTTAAGGCCAAGGTCAGTTTCTGTATTCTCCAGTAAAGCCTGTCTGTACAGTCATCCCAGTCTTCCGTGATTGCTTTGCTTCTCTGATTCTTACACTGTCTGTTGCCTGTAATGCCCATGGGATATTTAATATATGCTTGCTGCTGGTGTGTGTGTGTCATCAGTATTTTCACTTGACCATTGTTTGACTCCTAGACAGCAGAC